CGATAAAATAACAATGCCATAATCTGGTAGTCGAGAGCTAGTGTCCAGCAATACATTATGACATCTACAAAGAGCACGCAATAAAAAAGCGCATAATGTAAAGCAAATTAACTTCATGTTAATTGTTTGCGAGTGACCTCATCGATGGTCTGTACTGTCCACTACCCACCGTTTTGCCGCAGGAAAAGCACCATTTCCAGCGCAATTGGCTGCTGGCTGTGACGCTCTTGACCGTACGTCGTCCGTGCAGCGCTAAAAAACGCCCAACCAGATTAGACGTGGGCGGAATGACGTTAGCAAATTGTACATTGGTCGAACCGCTGCCAGCCGGCGTCTCTTTTGTAGATGCTCTACAAAAGAACATCCTTCGTCGCTGACTTCTGCATCCCCAGCAGCATTGAGTGCGCTTTCATCCGCGCAGCGGAAGGGCGAAGAAGACGGCGCTGCCGCCCTTGTCAGCTCGTGGCTGCCACCGACGACGCGTACGTTTCCCGATTCGAAGTCGGGACTGTGCCCGGGGTCCTATATGACACCAAGAAAAATGCTAATGAAATGCACGTTGACTCACAATATTATACAATAAAAATAGAGCTTACCGAGATATGTGGCGTACTGCGGTTTTACGGCAATGAGACCGTCGAACCACACCCGAACACTTAGCGATGTGACGCTTGAGCCTTGTAGTACTTTGGAAACTGATTCCACCTTTTTCAGCCCCTTGAGCAGCGACAGCAGGTGCTTGTTACAGGACGGCGCTGGAAGGACGTCCACGAGCGCATCATCTGTCGGGTCGAGGTTCTCGAGGAGGTGAACATAGCGATGAAGCATTCAAAACGTTGAGCTCCAGCGTGTGTTCTGTTAATTCACAGGACGAAGTGGCATCATCAACGTACATTTATAGCCATACCAAAATATAAACTGCGGAGTTAGTACACTACTTAACAAATATATACCATCATAGAATAGCAATTGCCTTGGCTTAGCAGCCTGCTTTAAGTTCCGTAGTCGCACCATTAGGGCTTAAATTCCTGCAAGTCCTCTTCATGTTTCATATCCACTTGGACGGTCCTATTTAGCCGGTGGCTAGTACATCCAATAAGCGGGACGCCCATGAGCGTTGCTAGCAGTCTATTGACGGCGCAGGTGTCCCCAACAAGAAATCCACCAGCTGCTTACCAAAGTAGCGGGGCACCATGCTAACTAGGAGCTCATAGTGCCCGCGCGCCGAGAGGTCCACATCCGGCTCGCTTAGGAGCGGCGCCATACAGAGGAGCGGGGTCTTTATGACGCCGTCGACCTCGTAGCAGGCAAAGACAGCAACGAAGCGTTCAGACGCGTAGCTCCAGCCATCCAGAATTAGATCAAATTGCTGAGGCATCTCGACAGCGATGTGACGCTTCTCAATCCGAGTGAGACTTTCCATGGCCTGCTGAAGTGGCTCGACACAAATCTGGTCCAAATTTGTAATGGGCCCCTCCATTACATAAGTAGGTAGATTTCTTTACATAAGTAGGTGCACCAGCACACGACTAGCGTGTGTTGAAATGCTGCCATGCCATTGGCTGATATATGGAGAGCCAGAACCATTATTAGCCAATTGGACTATGACGTGTATTTGAGTGGCCAGGGCTGTGGCCTTGGTCCTAAAATAAAGTCAGAGTTGATTTTTCCTTAAACCTAAGACTCAGTCGTCCTATTGCGAGCTTCCTCAACACCTTAGTGTAAGCAAGTAACGTAGTAAATACCTGGCCCGTTTCAAAATTTGTGTATCTAAGTAGCACAAAAATTACTTTGACTAAATTTAGATAGTATTACACAAAGTAAAACAAATGGCTTACCTTCTTGCAGCAGGATTATCGTAAAAGTTGAGCAGGATGCGGTTCTTGACAATCCAGTCGAGCCAGTCAAAAACGTTGAGTGATGAATGACGGACGTAGCTTAGAAGCGAGCCAGACTCAGCGGTAGGTGCAGACATCATAACGGCCTCGTAGCCCGGGTGCTCCCGACGGACGTGCTTCATGAGGTTAGAGTAGCCGTTTCACCGGGTCTGCTCTCGATCCGTACTGCAGCGACAGCGGAAGTTCTCAGAGACGACCTCGTCATTAGCGTTACGGCTGGGTCGGGAGCACAACCCGGTATCCTGGGCTGGTGTGAAGGTGACGTGGCGGGCGCGCGGGGCAAGAACGATGGTAGTTTAGCGAAGAGGCAAGTGGTTTTTGTTACTAATTGAAAAGTGCGGAAGCCGGCAAGCTGTGCTGTGTAGCTGGTTTTTAGAGTTGTTGGTATCAGCGTAGTTTAAGTGTGTGTGAGGTCATGGTTGGCTGTGAGAGGTACAAAATGATAAAGAGGTTTGCATCACAAATTGTGACAGATAACTCTTTAGTCAAATAAATTATCAATAACATACAGGTAACCAAATATAAATATATATTTATGATCTCATAAGACATAATTGAAAAGTCCATGCCATCCCTGCATCACAGACAAAATATCTGCCCAAATTGTCGACGGAGTTACAGGAAACATCATCACTGGCACAAAAAATCAAGCATCACAACTGACCCAAAAACAAAAGACATGACCGGCGAATACAAGGACAAACCCGAGGAGAAGGACGTGTACCTAAAGCAAACTCCAATACAAGGTATTACCGCTATTGTGGATAGAAAATCTAGCCTTTACTAATTATACTACAACTGTATACGCTTTTGTAGGCACTACGGAATCTCGGAACCTCGACCGACTACATCAGCAGCTTAACCCTTTCGTGCGCCTCCTTCATAATCTGCTGAAAATGAGTTTCGTGAGCACCGGTATTAATAGTAACTGCTAGTAATTGCTGGACACAAATATCGTATGGTGAGCAGCCCACTATATAAATGGACATGTCGATCGATGTTATATTCCTTGCCAGTTTTGTGAGCAGCTAGCGGCGTTGTGACCATCGGCTTCACCACATAACTGCATTTGTATGACTTATTGAATAGATTCAGGCACTGCAGTGTTTTGATGAATGCTAATCTCGTGGAGTCGCCAGGCGCATTACATGTTCAGCTGGTTAGCGATCGTAGGCTTTGAAGCCAATCGTATCGCTACCAGCCATAATAAAGCATGATTCGACCAGGAGGAAGTACCAACGTCGCTGTTGGAGATAGCGTCGCGATAGCAGTGCAAGGTGTTCCAAGACATACCATGGACGTGCAGCATGACGTAGCGCTGAACATGGAGAAGACATCGGAGGCTGCGGCGGCACCATCCAGGATCCTATTTCTCGACGGCGTCCGAGGACTCGCAGCGCTTTTGGTCGTGACTCAACATTCGCACGAGTACATGCAGGATCTCAACCTGGGAGCCTGCGCCGTCGACGCATTCTTCGTACTGTCATCGTTTTTACTAACGATGTTGTTCATGAAGAAGAGTATGAAGCTTCTGGCACACGGTGCCACATATCGGAAGTGGACCTTCACGCTTGCCGACTATTTTTCCAAGCGATTCTTTCGTATTTACCCGTTGTTCGCGTTGGTGGCCACTGTGCTGTGGATGCTTCCCCATGATGTTAAGCGTGGACTATTCCGCGTTGAGAAACCGGAGAGCTTCGATCTTTACAGAGTGCTCACGTTCGACTTTGATCAGCGTTTCTTCGTGTTCTGGACACTGCCATTAGCGATTTCCTATTATCTCTTCATCCCTGTATTCGTGCTAGCGGTGCTAAAACTACGGAGCTATTGGTGGATTCCGTTTAGCTCGGCCTACTGTTGGGTCATGTACGAGGGCTGGTACACATTTCGCTGGAGTCACATGGGATTAGCGCCTCACTTTCCAACGTTTCTCGCTGGCTCACTGGCTGCGGTCATTTTCGTTAAACTGGACATGTGGATGAAGATGAACAGCGTGCAGCTTCGGCCTCCTCTTATCTACGCGATTCGTACCTTCGAATGTACTGCACTCGCGCTGTTGCTGAGTCTGAGCTTTCAAGGACTCTTTTTCAACTGGATTCACGCCAACATTGCACCCCAGACGGCAGGCTTCCCATTCATCAGCGTCCTTTTGACCGTGATATTCGTGATTGAAATACTTCTGCCATCCTCTCTGTCTACATTTTTGAAAACAATGCTCTTCGACACTGCGGTAATGAGCTTCTCGATCTATCTGCTTCACGGACTTGTCATCTACACTGATGCAATAAGTGAGCAGCCCAGCTACTACGACCGAATATTCTCTACCTTTGGCCTCACGGTGCTAGTTGCGACAGTTTCTTACAGCTTGGTAGAATATCCATCCCAACTACTGGCGCAACATGTTACTCGAGAACTTGCCAGACGAGAGGTACTGGGACTCTGACATCGATCGTCTGTAAGCATTTTTTTTACATTTTTTTGCATGATTAGTGAATTAGCAATGTAAGAGATACTCGTATGTAGCACATGTACTATTAATACCGGTACATGTGAGTTGGGTATCCCGGTGCATGTACGTTTTTTGTGTGTAATGAATTGATATAGTCCGTCGACCAAAATCTTACGGTAAAATTTGGGGTAGCTAAGACATAGGTGCCACGAGCAAGATAAAAATTATCTACATATTATGTGCTGAGGCCGATGGTCTCGTGCTTGTAGCCCACGCTTCTCAATTAGCCAAACACGCTCCGCCAAGTTTTTTTTCTTCTGTCGATTGTCGTGCGAGGGCCCTTGAACGCGACGGCCTGTATTAAACACGATATCAGAAAATGCTAATCCTGGACCATACACGATAAGGATTTTTAGCATCAAATTTGTAAAAGAGTTTACAGATTTTAAATGAAATTAAGGAAAGTGTTTTGCCTGATTGTCTCACCTACTCTTGTCGTGTATCGTTGCATCTTCTAAAAATAAAGACTAAGAGATTTTAGGATGATGTGGGATACGTACGATAAACTATTACAGCCAGCATCTTTGGACGCTTTAGCAAGCGCATTAACAGCCTAACGCATTTTATTGATACAGAGAAAGCTGCTAGAAAAACATTAGCTCCCACATCACGAGAAAAAACTTTACACGCGACCGGCGAAAGCGTAGAGCGTGAGGGAACAGTCGTTGAGATGGCTAGCGGTATATAGATTGCGTCATCTTGTATGATACAGGATATCCGTTGGCTAAGCTTGTATGATACACTCTTAACCTAACAGCAGTGTCAGCACACGAGGAAGGCAGTGCCGAAGCAAATGACCAGCGTATGAGTGCCAGCAGGATGGCGAGTGATGTTATTGTTCAGTAAACAACCGTAGAGAACGGTAAGACGTGTTACTTATTTGTGATTTTTAGTTTAGCGCTCTATATAACATGTATCTGATTTAGCTGGTACTCACGCAGTAATAGTGATGAGAGATAGCCTTCGCCAACGTTGCGTTGCAACTCGCCTCATCTCTCACCGACCCCACGACATGAGTCCCCCATGTGTCAACTCGTCTGGCGTATGACCTCCATCTGACGATGCATCAAGCTCGGAAGATGTCCTTGATACCCAGTGTAGTCAGGAGAAGGACTTTGATGCGGTTAATGACACAGCCAGCTCAGGCGATAATGCTGGTACTCGTCGATCGGCAAGAATTGCTGCGTTTGCCGATGGTATGTATTGCATTGTGTGAGCACGTTAGCAATACAGATTACTGATCTTAGATTGTATATTTGTGTTATATCAGATATCAATATTATCGTAGAGACGGACGACCCTGCGGAGTATGAAGCTATGGAATCCGATGCTGAAAATGACGACGGGTGCTCCAATGGTGACGACAGCGAAAATGGAAGATGGCGTTGAAGGAGGTGATGAGGATGACTCGGAAGAAGGCGATGAAGATCCAATACAAACCTGTTTTATAACGATCTTCTTGCTGCAGTTGGTTAAATAGCTAGTATTGTAGACGGCAACGATATGTGCTGATATCCTTAGGGATATGGCAACCGCTGGATGGTCTTATCCTGTATCATACAGTTCCGTATCTCAATCAGACTTATGAGCCTCGCACAGCCGAGTCTATTCAAGAGGACTACCCAGCGTTGTATTAAAGAAACTACGGCCCTACGGCGCGGTCTCAACCGACCCATCCTTCAATCCTTTCCTGAACGTGACGACCTTTGTCGCCTCGTCGATCGGATTGGTCACGATGTTCGAGACCAAGTAACGCGCGCGCTGGGCGTAAGCATGAGCGTCATGGTTATCTAGCGGCATATCGAGCTCCGCACTCGACCGGAACGCATTCTGAGGGGGTCCAACCGCTTGTCTGGGCTCCTTTTTGGATACCGCATACGTGCTAACGCACGCATGATCTGTAAACTGGCGGCCATACGCCCAGATGTATTTCATTTAGATTAACTTTACTTTCGTTCGAAAGTATAGATCTATTTCAATCAGACATATTTCCGGTAAATTGAAAACTATTTATTTGTTTTTGCATACGTTTTACTCAATGAGTCGGCTGAGACCCTAGTACGGTATCTGCTTGATCGAGCCGATACGGATGAAGACGCCCAACTAACGGACTGCTTAGCTTCAGATCGTAAAGCACACGTAGGCTGGCTAAGCCCATTCTCCCGACCTAAGCGTAACACAACGGCCTCTACACCAAAAACAACCTCATCGATGAAAAAGAGGCCAACATATGTTGAAAACTCGGTGAAAGCTATTGAGATCAAGATCGACATGCTTGCCTCTATTATGCAAGCAGAAACCCAACATCCGCAGAGCTCGACGCACGAAAATACGGTCAGGTTGGCGAGCGTAGAGTAGATACTAGTCCCTCCACCAGCAAGGGAATGGAAGGATATGTAGACGATGTATTGGAGCGCTGATGCAGCTCGAAAATTATTGAAACCTGTCAGTAAGTGGATATGGGTGGAGAGAAAGAAGAACGGTGTTTTAAGCGCTACCACGCTTATCGGCGAAGATGTACGAGACCACTCAATTCAGAGGGGATCGCCGAGTCCTCTAAACGCCGCTGATTCGACCCTATCAATGTATGCAGAGTACTATATTAAGCACTGGCTGAAGGACAGAGTTGGTTTAAATGTTCTCAAAATTGATACGCTAGCTAGATACGTTCGCCTTGATAGAAAACGTCGGATTATAAAGCACGTTTATGTGAGAGTAGTATGAGTCCTTTCGCAGTATTTCCGGTCTTGTTTGGTCTTTCCAAAGTATCTTTTAACCTCGTCTGAGTAGTTCCCGTCTTGTCGTAGAAGCATAGTACTTTCAATCTTGTCTCCCTTTTTTTGCGATAATATATGTACTCCGACCTGAAACATTAGTGCAAATGTTTTTTTAACATTTGTGTAGTAGGCTAAACTAATAATCTGTCGTGATTTGTCATGTAATCGCGAGTTGCATTTGTTGTTGTTTTAGTGCGCGGAAGCTACTTCCGCCCGATATCAAATACAAAGCTCAAGAAAGTATGAAGCAGTCTTTTTTCACATTTACCGCTCACACAATAGCCTGGTCAGGGTTATCGGAAGCACACAAGTAATAAGATTCTAATATAACCTGACCCTTCATTTCATCAATGAAAGTGCTACTTATATGCGCTGATATACGACTTTGCGATCGACGAAACCCGAAGTCAATACCCGTGACGGCATTGGGGGATATCGAATTGGTTTGCGTGCCCGTAGCTGCTATAGCCTTATCATACTACTGGTAAGGCTGTACCTATCCGGCTAGCGGAGCTGATGAAGAGCTCGGCTTGATCGCTAGCGGTGTAAGTTTCAAAAATAAAATAAAGCCTTTCAGCTGTATTCGGAGCAATAGTAATTGTTATTTAACATTGTCAAATGATGGGAACAACTGTAGTACCTAACGTTGTATTTGGTTTATAGCCCGCCACTAGTCCTAAAGCCAATGATAGCTGCCATCACTACCAATTAGCACAATTTAGACTTCATCGATACGCTGTGCTCAACAGGGCCAGCTGAAATCAGTGACCTTCTAAAATGACTATCAGCTTGGTGGTATCGTACCAATCGGTGATCTGATGGATATTTGAAATAAATATGAGACTGCGTCAAATGAGATGAGTCTTACTACCCATTTACACTTCCAAAAAAAACGACTTTGAAGATTGGTAATGTGAATCCAAACTTAAATGTTTTTTTTTCCACAAAAGTGATGTCCGTCTAATTCTTTCGAATGGCTGACAGAATCCTACTATTCTAATTGGCTGAAGATATTGGCTTTCAACCAATGAATGCTTAAATGCATGCAGACCAAAGTCGGCCAGCTGTAACTGTTGGTGTATCTGACACCAACGTAAAAAACCTTCTTCGTGTCCAAGTGGCTACATGTAGCCACTTGCGTGTAGCCCCGTTACACATGGTCGTGGGCTGTAAGTGTCCTTAGGATAAGGAGCTCAGTATTAGTGACACTTTAAATCGAACGTCTTCCTCTGACGCTGAAGCTACGACAGTCTCGCTGCACCTTCAATGGATCGCTGCAATTCTGAGTGCCGGTCGATTTAATTCCGTCCCGTTGAGAAGATCTGTGAAATCTCGAGGACCCGATTATCAGTTTTTCATGAACGCACGTTGTAGAGGGGTTTGTGCAATATGGCCAAATCAGAAATAATATTTGCAAGTGGAATTCGATGAAGAAGAACGCCACCAGATCGCAGCAGATAACGCGGCGTGCCCGACGAGCTTGGTATCAATATTCGCGAGTTCCTAAGAGCCGTTTTGCATCAGCCGTTTAGATCCCACGGTGGAGCCAGAAGAGACAAAGTGGTCCAGCGCATATCCGGATTTAGATATACAATATGTCGGCGATGTAATTGCCGCTTTAGTAGAAACGATTCTGCGCAGATGCTGTTTTGGTGATCGAAGCTCTCGATGTAGAATTCAGCTTTTACACCCCCGCTCCTCACATTGCGGGTGCCGACAGCGTGATGGTAGACGCAGGCAACAGGGTGTGGCAATCAGAACAGCTGAAGAATTTGCTGACATGTGTGCGTGTACACATGTGCGAGTTCCGGGAAGCTTAGGAAAACGCTGGAAGCTCTGGGAGCAACGCTCCGAGCTAGAGCTTTAGCCGATACATTCCGACTGCCGTAACGGCGAGCTTGGGACCATGATGCAGCTTTATGGGCTATTTGCCCTGGCTACGTCGTGATGCGTTTGACGTCATTGCGGCTCGGTTGGGTGCTTATGCAGTATTTCTGCAAAGATTCATTGAATCGAGCCAGAACCGACTATACGTGCTCAACTAATTGCATGAAACTGTGCACGGTGGGGTGGCTCTAAGCACCTACGGGGTATGGCACAGGCGTCAATGATGGTCACGCAATACATTAACGGATTTACGGGGCTATCGCCGATTCATGGACCCAGTCGCCAAGCAACAGCCAGCGCTTTTGCGCTCGATTTTGCATTCGATTGGTGGATGACATCCACTAGGGGCAACTACGGTGGGGTGGGCTACTGTTGGCCTTCTTTTTCTTACTCCGCTGATCATCATATCTTTTATCGGCAACAAACATCATCTGTATCCCTTCGATTGGGTGCTTTGATGTTCCGGAACAAGCACGGGGTGTGGACGCGATCGCGCGACGCTCAGGTAGTTCGTCTAGCTAGCAGACTCTAACCGTTAGAATCTGCCATCGCGGAGGAAAACAAACAACCGGTTTGAACGCGGGGAGCGATACTATCACCATCGGTCTGGCGATGAGTTGCGGAGACCAGTTCTAGCAACACGATGAACGTCGAGAGACGCCAAAGTGCTTGGGACCCAGTCTGACCAACCAGTGATCTCAGCTTCAGCTGGAAGGAAAATTATAGCGCAGAAGATCTCAACCATTTTAAAGCAAGTCGCTATGTCTGCGGGACTAAATGTGAGCTCGTATTCCACACATTCAGTGAGGATGGGCGGGGCTACGGAGCTACCGAACGGAGGTACTGACCGACTGGCAATAAAACCGATGGGAAGACTGTCTTACGCCTATGAAGACCACCCAGTATTGACGGTCGACAGATCAAGTGACTTGTTCAAGGTGGTGTGTGTCACGGGATGCCAGCCTTCCACTTAAGTCTTCATGATCGGTGGTGTAGCAACACGGGCACGGATTGATAATTGTTGAGGGCGCACCACCCCGCGCCCGAGTCGCGCACTCAATAAAGCCTTCACGCCCCACACAATCGTGTTCACTGAAAAGAAGTGAGCATGTTGCAGCAAGTGGGATTTGTAATATTGTTACGCGTATGAAGGGGTCTTATTGAATACGTTATCTTGGACAGGTGATAATATGACTATATAAACCTTACCGATTTTGGAGCTATATGTACCAATAACCCCTGGTTCTGACACATGAAGCAATCCTACAGGATTACAAGAACTGCGACGGATCGTTTATCGCACCGATTCTTTCGCGCCAAATTGTAGTTGACACCTTCTTTTTCGGACGGCGAACGCTGGCGGGGGTGGTTTTGCAGGTGCCACCTTCTCACTGTGGCGTAGGGCTGGACCATACCAATTTCTTGGTAGGGGGGGGGGTCATTACAGAATGAACGTTTAGATTCTTATACCAATAACATTTTTTGCGAATCGTCTACCTACTCCTAAAAAATGAGTAAATTGTTTTCGGTAATGACTTCAGGGGCATCTGAGACTCAGATACCCCTGAAGCCATTACCGGAAAAAACTCAGAATGAGTGGATATCCACTCGTATGAAAAACAAATCTTAGAAAAGATGGTCTAATCTACAGCTGACACGATTTTGCATTTTGCCACGTAGTTTACGCCATAATCTTAATGGTAGCTTGCCTAAACGTTTATGTACTCGGTAAGCGGGGAACCCCAAATCCTGAAAACGTTTCCGGATAAGCCAATAGAATCTCTCACATTTATCCCCAGACCCAGGCACCGACGGAGATACCAGGGACCTATTGTTTCTAGACACCTATGGCTTATTCCTTCATATTCTACGTCGAGATGTGCTTACGAATTCTCACCACGATACTTCTCGCAGCCCTGGTTTATTGTGCTGCTACAACTATCGAACACGACAAACTTGAGCTCTTTCCTCAATACCATCAAGTTTAAACCACAACTGATCACCCCCGATATTGTGTGCTTGCCTTATCCCGCTGGAAATGCTGCTGGCAATGCCACTGGCGGGCTCAAGGGGACAAATGGGAACGATGCGTGTGAAGATGCTCCTCTCGTTCATCAGGTCTACGGTCGAGCTCGATGGTACCAGGACCAATGGGCTATCATGTACGCTTGGTATTTCCCGAAAAGCGTTTTCATGAATTTCCCTACGAGACTTCATGACTGGAAGAGTGTAGTTGTCTGGATTTATAATTCCGACGTGGAGGCGCCTCAGATTATTGGGGTGTCCATGTCCAAGGCCGACACATAGTTCTTCAAGGAAGTCAACATGCAGCCGGCATATTTTGCTGGCAGTCAGGGCTCGAGCACGACTCTTCGATTCAAATATCACGTCGATGTGTTGGCCCCTTCGAGTTTGTACTTCTCTCAACTATATGGCAACAGCCAGGATTTAATCGTATGGGAACGGCTAGCTGACGCCAGAGGTGTGTAAAAAAATATTGTTTATTGATTGCCGGCTCAGCCTCAAAACAATCAATGATTGCAACCTTGTCAATCTTCAAGCTAGATATTACAATATACTGTCGTTATCTACACTACCGCTGCGTCGTTGACGGTTTTAGCTCGCTCAATGGCCTTCGACACGTCCGCAAGTGTCACTAAGTTCCAGTTCAGCTTTTTGTACATGATCACCTCGAGATTTTCGTGGCTCATGCGCTTCCTCAAATACCCGACAGTACTTTTGACTGTCGAAAAAAGCGCTCAGCAACTACGGACGTTGCAGGAATCCAGATCGCGTCGATCAATTTCGACTGTGGTCCTGTGCATGTGCGTGATCTTTTCTTAAGCTTTTCATCCAGATCCTCGGCGGCTCGCTTACGTTTCGACCTTGGAGTAGCTGCTGCGACAGCAGCTGGCTGTGGTTGTAGCGGAGAGGTGAAAGTTAGACGATGCACAGCCTTACGCTCGTTTCTCAGCAATGACGACTCTACACTAGCTTGAACTTTAGCTAGTCCGCTTTCAAATGCTGGTGACTCGACAATATCTGCATCGGTAGCGAGATACTTCTCCAGGTCGTCGTAGTCATCTAGCACAATGTCAAATATATCTCGAACAATGGCAACAGTTATGTTGTTGCGCTGAAGCTCGCCGGTAATTACATCAAACGCGGTCATCTCATCCAGGAGGACAGCAATCTTTCTCTGCTCACTTAGCGACTGAATCAGATCAACAAATGCGACGCAGCGAATATCGTTCTCGCTAACGTGTTCCGGGAGATCACGGTCAACAATGCAATCATCTCGAAAGTGGTGTGGATAGGGTCGAAAATCCTCAAAACGTTGCAACATCCGGTAGCAGCCGCTCCACCTTAGCTCGTGTGAGGGCACAGGTTTAAATTCGTATCCAAGTTTCTTGGGTTTGGCGATGCGTTTCACCGTTTTGAGCTTTTTCAACAAGCCACTCACTTTTTTTATGAGCTGCATATGAGGTGCAATGCGCTCATGTACAGCGAGGTTAAAGCGATGAGCTGCACAACCAATGAAAGGCCTATTAACCCTCCGAGAAATGGCTTTGTTGGTCTCCATATTGTCAGCGACAATAGCGACCATATCCGAGAGATGCATACCGTACTGGGATAGAGCCATATCCAAAAAGTCAATATACTCAGCGGCGGTCATTGAACTTTCGTCTTGAAAAGGCGAAAAGACCAGAAATAGAAGGTCCTTTCTGGTGGCAGCAAAAATGGCGATGGCATGTTCTGCAGAATCCGTGAATCCATTAAAAAAAACAGAGCAAATTTCTTACCAGAAAGCTCGCTGGCAATTTTTCGATCTAAGATCTCTACTAGTGCCGTCATTCACCTCAACACAATCATCCGAGCCATCGACTTGTAGCGAACAGATGAGCGAATGATGGGGCCCTCCACGTGTGAGAAGGGAAAATTCTTCAATGCAACCAGCTTTACCCACCCGTACGTGTCGGCAGCGTCCTTGTGGACAAACATCGTGCTAATTGGCTGGCAGCTCTTTTTCATGCATTTCTCAGCGACGGTTTCAAACCCATCGTGATGACTTCTCAGGTGCGTGATGAGATTCTTGTAGCCGGCCTCCTTCTTTTGCTTGACGACTTCGTTGCAGATTGTGCATGTGCACTCCATAGGTGTGGGGTCCATATAGAGTATCTTGACGACCTCGGCGCTCTACATGGTGTGCTGCTGGTCGCTGAATCTTTGCAAGTATGTGGCAAATTGGATAATTACCACACAGCGAGCTCCAGCTATCTCTTACAACAAGTGTGCCGACAAAAATGGCGCCAAATCAAATTGGGTATTCGCTCGTAGGCTCGGTTTCGAGCATTTGGTTGGTGGAACGCTATTCTACCGTGATGATTCGCTGTAGAAGCGCAAATAGGCTCAAGGACCTAGGAAAAAATCTAAGATTGTGATTGCCGATCTTGACACAATAAATTATTGTGATTGACATTCTTAGCAATCCAACAACTCCAATCAAGTTTTGCATACCCCTGAGTTGACGCAGCTCGTGAAGCTTTGAGCAACGGCAATAGCTTTGGGGAAGCGGAAGTCCAGTTCAGTGATGAGCTATTCGAGAATCTTCTCAAGAGTGCATGGCCGTTTAAGGATTAGCCTTCTGTCTCCACTTGGGCCTGGAGAGTCTCCAGCAGCAGCCTTTTACCGGTACAATACAGAGTACCGAACATGTGCGTTCAATTTGCTCTGCTGACTACTGCAATAATGAAGAGCAAAACTGATGCTTTTTCGTGCTAAATCGTGCATGAGGTGAATAGATTGCAGTTGCCCAAATAGAAAAGCGATGGCTGCCGATTTTTTCTGCTCTTGAAAAATGAAGTCAAATAAATTGTCGGTATGTCCAAGCGCCACACTAGTTTATTTTAATAAACCTATTTAAATTCATACTATCCCTCTGATAGGTTGTATCTAAAAAAAGATCGCCAATTAGTGTCGACACCAGGCGCGACGTGAGGGCTCGAGCTGAGGCCCTGCGCCGAGCGTGGCGCCATGCTTCACGCGGAAGTGCGAATTAAATGCTTCACGTACAGAAGGCATCGAGGTGCAAGTTTATGGCGAGGACACGTAATGGTTAAGAAAACATGAGCGGGAGGTCCAACTTGTGTCCAGTAAACTAGGAGGCCCCTAAGTTAGGGTTGCTCAAAATGTTTTTAATGTGGATTTCTTCGTTTAATGAGAATAGATACCTGCATGGTAGATCGGAAATACGCAAATAAATAATTGGTGCTGCGACTGTAGTAAATAAATATGTGCATCCAAACGTAATCGTGCTACTAAGGTTATCGCATCATACTCCTTAAATCACTGCGTCGACAGTGGTGACATCCCAATAGTGGCTGTTCACCTTCAGGAAAAGCATCATCTCCAACATCAGCGGCGAACGTCGGTTGCGCTCGTAGCGTAAGATCATGCGAGCCATACTGAACAGCCTCGCTACTTTGTTGGAGGTAGGTGGAATGATAGATATCATCACGTAGGTGTTAAGCTCCGCGGTGATCTTCCTGCGCTTGAGGATCCGATCAGCAAAGCCTACCTTGACTGATTCCTCTACTGGGTCGCTGCTCCTGCTGGTTGCATGTTGAAAGGGCCTCAGTGCCTCTTTTTCAGCACTCGTCACGTTCTTCTCATGGCCACCGAGAACTTTGACCACACCACCTTCAAAATCTGGAGAGGGCACGATATCCGCTCTTGGGGCTAATTACTTATAAAAAAAGTTAGATAACCTTAGAAAATAAAAGCAAAGCCTTACCGAGATAATTGGTGAAACTTGGTTTTATCTGCAGCAGCCCATCCAGCAATAAGTTTAAGATCATCCGACTGCAGCTACTTGGAAACTGACTCGATGTCGCCTATTTCCGTCAGCAGCGCTTTGCGTCTGCGATTAGCGGCTGGTGATGGTAGTAGCTCGACCAGGTCTTCGTCGTCCGCGTTTATCAATTTCTCGGAGCTCAAAATAGCGAGCCAGCATCGCGTACGTCGACCCCCAGCGGGTTTGCTGACGCAGCTTGGGCCGGAGTGGTGTCTTCAGCCTATTAAAAAATAAACAAAATGACGACATTAAAAAACTAATATTAAATAGACAATAGTGAAGGATTTACCTTAACTTCGCCGTTTGAGTGATCGTCCGCAGTTTTTGCATTGGCGACTGGACTTGTTCGAGGTCCTGTTCGTGCGGGTCTAGTAGCGCTTGGACTGCGAGGTTCAGACGGTGGCTTGCACAGCCCACAAGCGACCATGTTGAATGCGCAGTTATCGCCAACCAAGAATAGGCAGTTTGATAGGTCCTTACCGAAAATGGCAAAAATGCTGCCAACGCCGCCATGTGAGTCTCGGCGTCAAATAGCCCACTTGCATCCACAACGATTGGCATTAGCGATAGTAGAGGGCTCTTGGGTCTGGCCTGATTTCGTAGTACCCAAAGACAGCGAGGTAGTGTTCGGACCCGTGCGTCCACCCGTCCAGCATGAGCCCGAATTTGTCGGGCATCTCGTCACCTACGCGCCCTTCCACTGCCTTGGTGAAAACCTCCATGTTATCTCGCAGGGTATAGGTCGAGAAGGGAGGCAAATTTGTGTACCTAACATTAAGTATTAGAATTTTAAATTTGAGAAATGAGGGCGAATTATAGCCAATTCGAACCTGCGTGTGGCCTCCATTTCAACAAATGAGAATGAGAGGTTCCTGTTCACAGCCCATTCTAGCCAGGCGTACCTCATCAAGGCCTTCTAGCGGACCCACGGGAGGGGAGTACACGTTGCCGCGGCACTTGCCGCCTCCTTCTCCTGCTCGTAGCGCGGGTGGTCGGTGCGGACGTGGGACACCAAGTTGAAGTACCCCGTCTTGTGGACGTGCTTGCGGGTCTTGTCACAAGCTTTGCAGACCTGAAGGCCAGTAGGATCTCCGATTTCGGTTAGGTAGGGCTTGAAGAAGAACACAGCGATTTGATTTGTAGAGAACTTGCTCCTCGAGCGCTGGGAAGGCATCAGGGAAGCGTCGGACATGGCGAAGGTTGCGAGAGTTGGTAGTTTGGGCTGTGTGAGAATTGAAAAGTGAGTTTGAGTCGTCGGCCCAAGTTTGCAGACAGCTCAGAGCCAACGAAAATCTGGTGGCAGTCGAACAAGGACACTAAATTTCGTGTAGGAATACATTTAATCCAAAAAAATTAAATTGTGGCCAGACCACTAGTAAATATTTTCTAAGGAATAAATATTAACGGTAAATATATTTTTGAGGACCCATGCCCCTACCCTCCATGCCCAGGGGGGCGTGCAGTAGTGCTAGTACCTTACGAGCTAGGAGGCTATGCGCTTCTTCTCTTCCAGCGCTTCTGTCTTGCGAGTATGTGTGTGGATTAAAAATACCGCTGCAGCCGCTGTAGTGTAATGTTTATGAAAATCGACGCTCTACTTCAGCGTCGATCCAGCATTACAGCTTCGACAAGGTGCTGAATCCTGCTATTACCTGCAGAGTGTAGGCGCTTTCTGTTGGTCATTATACCCTCAAATAGCAGAGCGACTGATCTGCAGACATGGAGATAAAGTAGCTCAGTTGTGTCTGCATTTAATCCTGTGAGAACAAGTTAACGGGTGCATCTGGCGCATAGTTGACATCAGGAAGAAGACGCTTCTCCTGGCGTCCTGTTAGCTTGTTAACGGTCAAAAATTCCACACTGCCAACTTGATTTATGCTCACAGTATTTCCAGTTGCGCACAGCATTTCAAGACCATCACCAATTGCCGAGATATTAGTGAACTGTGAAAGATCGTTGCAGATGTTCGCCGTCGCAGCGCTGTCCAAGCACCACTGCACTACATCAGGACCTCCCATCGACAGAACTCCACCGATATTTGCCATGCATGACTTAGGACCAGACTTGCCATGCCGACCACCACCTCGACCACCACGACGACCACCACCTAGACTTGACGACCCTCTGTTACCGTCGTTCTTCTGTTTTTTTGCCAGAGTTCTGGTCGTCCTTCTGCCAGCATTCTCGATACCAGTGGCCTAGTTTGCCTCACTTCGCACACGGTCGTCGCTGCATAGCTTCCTTCACTGACCGTCGGCGGCTCTGGCTCTCTCTGCCTTGATGCTGGTAATAGCCATGGCCGTCATTTCCTCCAGTCGAAAACTGTAAAACTGCATTTGTAGTAGATTGGCCCCCTTGAGAACCTGTAGCTTTACCACCGCTTCGAGACATATTCGAATGTCGCATATTCTCCTCTTGCTCGCTTGCCAATAGTCGTCCACGTATTTGACCGACTTCAAACTCCCTGACTTTCATCCTTGCTCCAACCAACTCTGTACTTAGGTTCCGGAATACTTCAAGGGCATTTGTAAGGAGAAGTCGGGCAAGTTCAGCATCTTCAAGAGGGTGCCCAAGCGTCACGAGATCTTCTTGTAGCTGCATAATAGCGTCGATGTACGTGTCAACACGCTCACGTTTAGCCAGTTTTTGCGCAAACATCGCGGCCTTGATCAGGATGTCGTTCTTGGCGGCGCTTCCAGCATTAAATTCTTCCTCGGTATCTTTAAATAGCTGCACAGGATCACAACTCACAAGCCGTCGCCTGTACCGACCGGCTAAGCGCGGGCCGAGCGAGCCAGCGATGACAGCTTGAGCCTTGAGCCAGCGCTCGTTCCAGCGACGCTTCTTGGCAGAGCTCCAGGAGCTGTCTCGAACCACTTCTTCGATCACTAAAGACCACATTTTTTGTACCTTGAGTTTTAACTCGATCATTGTCCGCCATAGATAGACGTCAGCACCAGTGAGCTTGGGCACTTCGAGGGTTGGGTGTCCCTAACCGCGG